ATAAGCCTATTAAGTGCATGTTTTTTCTTTTCATTTACAACCAATTATTCGCTCTAAATATATTTGGTTCATTTAGACTTTATACAAAGTCTTAACATCACAAAGTCTTAAAATCATTTTTGACTTTATACAGTCTTAAAATCATTGTGAACAACAATATATATCTTATTCATATAGACTTTAAACGAAGTCGAAAAATCATTCAAGACTTCATTAGAATTTGGTGTAATTACTAGGGTAACAATTACACAACCTAGTAATTGCATAACACAGTAATTACGATGATATGTGTATTTGTCGTAACGTAATTACAGTGAACTACAAGCGTGTTGTTTGGTTGTACAAGTGTAATTACACAGTTAGATTAAATTTTAAATGAAGTAATTATCAAAACTTAAAAGTCAATATAGTAAATATATGCCTAGAAATAATTTTTTATAAGTATAAATGATATTAGATTTGATAATTAAGATGTATATTGTTTTCTTGAATATACATTAATTAGTAATCATATATTTATAGCTAATATTGTAAAAATAATTTATATATATTTTTTAAATTAATAATGTTTAGTTTAATTAATTATAAGAACTAAAAACATATGTTTTGTAAGAACATCATGGAATGTATGTTTGCTTAAATAACTTAATATTTATAAATATAATGTCATAATATTATTCAAATATTTGACAAAACTAATCTATCAATTCTAACTAAAAATGAACAACATGCAATGTGAAATAACAAGCCAATACTATTAAGTCAAATATAACACAATAAAACAAGTAAATTGTAACCATAAATATAAATAATTTTAAAATCCAAAAAAGAAATGTTTTAACATATGTCAAATTCCTACGTAATAAAATAAGTTCTAATACAACTTAATATTAGGAAACATACTAAATTTATAACGTCATTCAACAACGAACTTCTACTTTAATGATATCACTTGTTATATGACAAGTTTGTTAATGACTCATTATTTCTAATATTATGAAGTGTAGTTTCAAAACTAGCATAATAACGCGGTTACGCTAAATGAAGAAAATAAAATAAATAAGAAATAAAATATACGAGCAATTACATAGAACCACAAAAAGTAAAGGTAGAGAAATAAAATATAAATAATGTACAACAAAAATTATATTTTAAAATTAAAAAGCATAAATACAAAAATTAAAATAATGGAAATAATAAGTTATAAAGAAAATAAATTTAAAAAAAAGGAAAGAAATTAAAGCGTAACGTTGTAATTACACTGTGTAATTACCATAAATTCTCACCTTCCACTTGAGAATTGGAGAGTGTAATTATACCTCTCCAATTATGCCCAATTCCATGATGATCACACAATTACTTGGCCAGAAAAATATGCTAAATAATATAATTACACCTAAATCTAATTCCTAGGTAGTTTTCCAAACATGCTCTAAGTCTTAAAATCATTCTGATATTCACTTAAAGATTTATGTGAAGGCGTACATAGAGTATATATGGTTACACATATACTATTGATGTTCCATAAATTGCATATATTATATATCTGACGACTATTTTTAGTTTAAACACTTGGGTGAGCGACTATTAGGTTAGTTCTTTGCATTTTTTATTGAGCTAAAGTAATCAGAAATCAACCAAAGTAAATCGAGATCAAGACTGAGAAAGTAATTCTCAACAAAAGATAATATTCATTATGTGATTATAATAATTTCATGATCAGACTCGATATGGACCTATTGGCCAGAGAAAGAAAAAAATTGATAAATCAATTAATTACTTTTTTTCAATTAAACTTTCTTTCTCCCTTTGTGTTTTTTTTTTAATTTTTAATTTCTCTTTCGCTTTGTTTATAAGTACATAATATTAACTTTTTAACACAAAATATTAGTTTTTGGCTGAGATAGAAGGAGATTCATGTTAATATATAGAGTTATCTGATATCTATGCTTGTGGAAGTTAGAAGGTATCAAATGTGATAGTCAAGGTGCATGTATGTGATAAGTGATGGAACCACCTTATGCTAAGGGACATTCGGAAAATTACTTAGGTCAAAACTTTAATTTTTATGTATATATAATATATGTTAATTCCCTTTCTTTTCTTTGTATATTTATTTTTTTATATTTTGATATTCCTTAATAAAATTCTTGACTCCCCGTTGCGTATGATGACTCACCACCACTGTTGTCAAAAAATTGTAGGCGGTGATGAAAAAATTAATCCCTTAATCAATAAAAGATAATTTCCAAATATAATATTACCAATAATACAACCCCCAATATTCGTAATGGTGATGAGATAAAAGGATGATCCAAGACAGGGGCGGATTTAGGGGGGCGCAAGGGTGTTCACTCGAACATCCTTCGCCGAAAAATTACACTGTATATATAAGGTAAAATTTGTTTTTTACATCTATATATTAAGTTTTGAACATCCTTAACACAATCCAAAAGTGTAGTTTAGTGGTCAAGGGGGTTCATAATCTATATAAGGTCGTGGGTTCAATTCCCACTAGCTACAAAAAAAAGTTATATGTATGGGAGAAAAATAAAAAATAGTCAGATTTACAATTGGTAATTGAAAAATAAACGAAACTTAACCACTTTTTCATGTAAAAATAAAATCTGAACAAAAACACCCCTACAAATCCGAAAATATTCCACATAATATGTTGGAGTTCCAACATTAGCCCGTGGATTAAAACTGTTGTAGACAGAGTAACCCTCACGAATTATATTCAAATGGTTGCCGTTTGTAATTAAGTCTCTTCTTTCCTCTAACAAGATTAGTTCACATATTTTGTATGAACAAAGTTGTCCATAACAGAAACCAAAAACTTTGTTGCACATTTCCCCCTTATATAAACTCAAAAACAATAATGCAACTCTCAAGTTTATATTCCACTATGGCTATTCTTGCAAAAACTTTACAAATTCATTCTCTAGCTTTACTTATTCTCATTTCTTCATCCACCATACTATTCCAGCATGCTCAGGGCGAATCAATTGTAGCGCCATGTGTGATCACTTGTGGCAAAAAAGCAGTCACTTGTGTTGTTAAATGCATCTCAACGCCAGATAAATGCTTTCAGGATTGCGCGGTTGATATTATCCGTTGTATGAGTTCTTGTCTCATGCCGAGCGCGCCACCACCGACGTCTATGATTTTGGACATAGACGACAGTCAGGATGGAGCTAGCATGGAACGTACCAGTAACTTCGATATGTTTAGGAATCCACTGAATGTGGACATATAATAAACTCCAGAACCTCTAAATATATCTGATTCATTTAGACTTTACACAAAGTCTGAAAATCATTCTAGACTTTATACGTGTATACTATAATTATATACGTTTATATACATATTATTCATGGATATGCATAGGTTATACAGTCGCAACTATTTTAGTTTAAGCGGTTGGTGGACGCCTGGACGGTTATTATGTTAACTCTTTACGTTGAGCTAAAGTAATCAGATATCAACCAAAGTAAAATGGGATGAAGACAGATAAAGTAAATTCTCAATAAAAGTAATTTTAATGTGATTATAATAATTTCATGATTAGACTTAATGGACCTATTGGCCTAAGAGAGAAAGTATTGAACTATCAATTAATTACCTTTTTTTCAATATACTTTCTTTCTCTCTCCTTTTTCTTTAATTTCTCTTTCCCTTTGTGGCTTCTTTTTTTTTTTTTTTTTTTTT